CCTCCCCCTCCAACTTCCCGCCTTGGATGCCACGGCCAGGGCCCACGCATCTGCTCACCATGGGAGGCCGAGGCCTACCCAGCCGTGGCCGAGGCCTCAGCCAAGCACCCCGTGGACAACCCCGGGTCGCCCGGATGCAGAGCTTGGGGAACAGGGCTCCGAAAAGGACCGGCAAAGACAGAGGGTCCAGGGCTGCAAGAGACGCGCTGTGTGGACAGCGGGTCGGGAGGACCTCCGAGGGGACGTCAGACGCAAGGGACCTTGCCAGAGGCAGCCCAGCCCAACACACTCACATGTGCCACCACCCACACCCAGTTGCCAGGGACAGAATGTGCCGGGCTCACCTGCTGGCCTCACCCCGAGCCCCGCAAGATGGAAGCAGCTCTCACCTTAAATATCTTCAGGTTGTTCTGTGCCTCCTGCAGCAGACTCTTCAAGGCAAAGTGCATCCTCTGTTTGTTTCTAGAGGGGCAAGCGTGGACATGCTTTAAAAGCAGCGGGGACGGGTCTGTCTCTGCACACGCACCTGCTTGTGGCTCAGCGGACACGCTGGGCACTTTCAGGGCTGAGCTGGGAAACCAGAGCCGGGCTGGAACCAAGCCATGAGCCCTTCCCTCACCACAGCCCCTCGGGGACAGGGAGAGAGCGGGGCTTGGGTCACCTGCCTCCCCAGAGGGCCACAGACGCAGCGCCACAGCATGGCATGTGCCTGCGGGAGCAGGAAGGGACATGGCCCTGACCCCTGGGCCTGAGGGAGACGTGAGGGACCTGGCCGAGGCAGAGGAAAAGGGAGGCGGAGCCCCCCGGCTGCATCACAGCCTGGCCAGTTCACAGTTAACAGACACTCTGCTCCCTCATTCCTCCTCCCACAGTTCTCAGGTGCTCGGGAACAGCATGGACCGTGATGGGCTCGGGGGGAGGGTGCAGGGAGCCAGGTCAGTCCCAAGAGCCCTCACCCTCCCACCGCCTCCTCTGCCACCCCCATCACCCTCCCTAAACACCCCTGCTCCCACAGGCGGCTGCAGAACCTGCAGCACCCACTCAGAGGGCAGCCGCACAGGCAGGAGACAGCACCCATGTCCACACCGCAGCTGTCTCCCCTCCACATGGCACCACGCTCAGCCTTCCCAGAAGGCTCTCTGCTTAGGAAGGACAGGTTACAGCGCTCCACAGTGAACCTTTACTGCTGGCTACTTCCTGACTCCCCACCTCGGGAGGCTGGCTAGCACAGGGGTACGTGCCACGCACAGCCATCCCAATTCCAAAGGAAAGCCAACAGGGTTCTGTGCTGCTCCCCTGTACAGGCATCCCCAGTGTCTGACTTCCACCCGTTTAACTTCCCAAGACAACTCTGCTCGACCTGCGTTCTGGAGGTTGGCCTCGGCATCTAGCCGTCAGCCCTGAAGCGAGGACCAGACACACCCAAAAGAGCAGGCGCTCAGCACCAAGAAAGGCAGAAGGACGACAGGGACAGGTGGAGGGAAGGGAGGGAGCAGGAGGAAAGACACCCACACAGTCGAAGGGAAACCAGGCCCAGCAGGCAGCTCTGCTTTCACTGGGTCCCCAGGAGGGAAGAGGAGGCCGGCCAGGAGAGTCTAGCTTATCCCAGGACAGCAGAGGCCGCCGGCCTGCACGACGAGCAGTCGAGGACTCTGGTGGGGGCATGAGAGGCCACCGGAGTGGGGCCGGGGGTCTGCAGGGAACCACAGGGTGCGGCCCAGGCCCCTCCCCCCACTTCCCCACCTCAGCCCCCCAGCTGCCTCCTGCTGATGCCTCCACCCGGGCCTGACCGCTGGCCCGCACCCCGCGGCGGCCTGACCCGCCCCAGGTCCCGGCCATGCCGTCTCCTGGCCAGACTGGGCCTGGCTGCTCCTCGTGTCGCATGCTGAGGGCACAGCAGAGCTGCCGGCCCAGGAGAGTCAGTTCAGGGAAGGTGGGCAGGAGAGGCCCAGGGCCTGACTGGCAGCTGCAGGCAGGCCTCACCTGGGCAGAAGCAGCCAGAGGAGCAAGAGAGCAAAGGCACAGACATCCAGACTCAGGGCCCAGCCGGGTGGGGGCAAGGCTGAGTGCCGGCTGACCAGTGGCCCGAGTCAAAGACAAATCCGGCCGCCAGCTGGGTGGGGGAGAAGCCCAGCGGGTCAGCAGTCGCCTCAAGCTGTGGCACAGAGGCCAAGTCCACGGCACAAAGCCCTGGGTGTCTACGGTGCTGAGGCCCCAAGGAGAGCCCTGAAGACAGACGAGGGCCCTCCCCGCAGCCTGCCATACAGGCACTCCCCACTGGCCTACTCATAGGACGTGCCCCCACAGTCCCCGCCTCACAGGACATCCCCACCCCATCCCCGTCTCCCAGGACACCCCCCACCGTCCCTGCCTCACAAGACAACCCCTCACTGTCTCCCCTCACAGGACCGCCCCCTCCAGGCACCACCCCATCTCCAACGAATAGGACACAGGGCAAAGAAGGGTTCTCTTACCCTGAGTAGAGATCAAGGGGACAGTATTTACTTATCTGCTTCCACTTCCCGGTGGCTACCTGTTAAAAGACCAACATGAGGGCGTCAAATGCCTGGGCGCGTGTGACTGCGCTATGCCAAGGTTCACACACAGAAGTGCGTGAGTGTCAGAAGATGATTAAGAAGGATGCAGCTGGCAGGTGCAGTGGCTCAAGCCTGTAATCCCAGCACTTTGGGAAGCCAAGGCAGGAGGACTGCTTCAGCCTAGGAGCTTAAACCCAACCTGAGCAACAGAGCAAGGGCTCGTCTCTACCAAAAAAATCAAAAAATGAGCCAGGCACAGCGGCATGCACCTGCAGTCTCAGCTACCTGGGAGGCTGAGGCAGAAGGATCACCTGAACTTAGGATTTCAGGCTGCAGTGAGCCATGATCATGCCACGGCCCTCCAGCCTGGGCAACAGAGGGAAACCCCGACTCAAAAAAAAAAAAGTGTACAGCCTTGCCCCAGAAAAGGGTCCACTACCTTGACAGATGCACATCACTGAATGGGGGAGGAGTCACCTGACCCCTACCCAAGGAACCCATAGCCCCATCTAAGACATGGTGTGGCAGCCAGTCTAGCCCTTCCCAAGAGCAGGGAAGAAAGCAACAAACACTTTCAAATTACATGGCTAAATTTTGATAATAAGATCAAGAAATCTTTAAAGTTATAATATTCAGTAACAGGGAAAATGTGGTTAACAAATCATTTCTTGTTGCCAGTGGGAAAATAAATTGGCATAATCTTTTGAAAGGCAACTTACTAGTATCCATCAAAATTTAAAATGTGTATGTCCCTGACTTAGCAAACCTATGAGGAATCTAGAAAAACTAACACAGGGACAAAAGGTCCAGAGACTAGGATGTCCTCTGAAGCCTTATTGATTATAGGGTGACCATTTTTGCCAGTTTTCTAAATCAATGAGAAAACAGGCAAAAATGGTCGGAATAAAAAATTTTGGAACTCTGAAAATTGACCCAAAAATCCTAACTCAGAAACCTTTAAAAAAAAAAAAAGACAAGGCCAAACCTAATCAAGAACAACAACAAAGCCCTTAAACAAACAATAACAGCCTACCAAGCAGCAATAACAAATTCTGGAGGAGGTAGAATCTAATTTCCAGAGTGGCCACATTATATTATTTTACATGCCCATTTTCAACATATCATCACAAAGCATAAAAAAAAAAACCAAAAAAAGTATGGCCCATAAGCAAGGAAAAAAGCAACCAATAGACCTTCCCCCAAAGAAGCTCGGACATTGGACGTATTAGACAAAGACTCACATCAACTATTTTAAATATGCAGAGAGCTGAAGGGAACCAGGGACTAAGAACTAAAAGCAACAAGAACGATGTCTCAACAAATAGGAAGTATGAGTAAAGAAACAGAAATCATAAAAAGGAGCCGAATAGAAGCTCTATAGTTGAAAAGTACAGTAACTAAAATGAAAAAAGTAACTAGATAGGCTCACCGGCTAACTTGCGTGGACAGGAGAGACAGGAATTAAGTCTAAGAGATCCAGCCCTAAACACATCATAATCAAACTGTCAAGGATGAAGAGAGAGAATCTGAAAAAGCAGCAAGAGCAGCTGGGCACAGTGCCTCATGCCTGTAATCTCAGCATTTTGACAGGCCAAAGCAGGAGGATCACTTGAGGCCAGGAGTTCAAGACCAGCCTGAGCAGCAGGGCATGATGGTACACGCCTGCAGTCCCACCTACACGGGAGACCGAGGCAGGAAGACAGCTTGAGCCCAGCAGTTTGAGGCTGCAGTAATCTGTGATCATGTCCCTGCTCGCTAAGCCTGGGCAACAAAGCAAGACCTTGTCTGCAAGAAAAAAGTGACTCATCTCATACAAAAAATCCTCCATAAACTTAACAGCCGATTTCTCATTAGAAACCATGGAGGCCAGAAGACAGAAGGCACCCAAGAATTCAGATCTACCAAAACTATCCTTTGAAAATGAAGGAGAAATTAAGATATTGCAAGGTAAACAGTAACTAAAAGAATCTGTGGCTAGAAAGCCTGTCCCATGGGAAATACTAAAGGGAGTCCTTTGGGTAGAAATGAAGGACACTTAGCAGCTCAAATCCACATGAAGAAATAGAGAAGCCGGGCTTGGTGGCTCAGTCTGTAATCCCGCGCCTTTGGGAGGCTGAGGTGAGTGGATTGCCTGAGCCCGCGAGACCCGCCTGGGCAGCAAGACCTCATCTCTACAATAAATTAAAAAAATCAGCCGGGCGTGGTAGCGCATGCCTGTAATTCCGGCTACTTGGAAGGCTGAGG